TAGCTCCGTTGATGACCTGACTGCAGGTTCTTAACAAGATTCAAAAGTGCCCCGGATTCCTAGCATCTTCACCTCTAGCTGGAAATGTTGTGCTCATCTCCACTTTGGTTTATCGTGCCTGTGGGACTCGAATGTTCAACGGTGGGGTTAGGAATGACAGACTGTTAAAATAGGGTGAGCAAATGACCCCCTGTGGGGATCAGCCCACCGCACCATGGTTGTCTCACCTTGAATAAGGAGGTGGCCTTAGAGAAGGCAGCATGGTCTAGTGGGCAGGGCGCTGGGCTGGGAGTCAGGAGACCTGGATTCTCTTTTAAGCTGTGTTACTGTCGTGTGACCTAGTGCAATGGTTCTCAACCAGGGGTCTGGGGCCCCCTGGGGGGCCGCGATCAGGTTTCAGGGGGGTCTGCCAAACAGGGCTGGCATTAGAGTTAATGGGGCCCAGGGCAGAAAGCCGAAGGGGCTGAAGACTGGGGCCCTGAGCCCCGCCACTTGGGGCTGAAGATGAAGTCTGAGCAACTCAGCTTTGCAGGGCCGCATGAGGCCGTGGGCAATTACCCTGCTTATTACCCCCTAATGCCGGTCTTGACTTTTATATGCAGAAAAACAGTTGTTGTGGCACAGGTGGGCCGTGGAGTTTTTATAGCATGTTGGGGGGACCACAGAAAGAAAAAGGTTGAGAACCCCTGACCCAGTGAACACTTCATCTCTCTGTTCCTCTGCTCAGTTTCCCCCCTCAGACCTTGTCTATTTAGGTTGTGCGCTCTGAGGAAGGGACTCTGTCACTATGTGTACGTACGGTGTCTCACACAATGGCACCGTGCTCTCAGCCTCTAGGGGTGACTGTCATACAAACAGTTAACTATGAGTAGCCTGCTCAGAAAACAGATCCCGGAATGTGATGTTTCATATTGATCTGAGCAGAGGATGTTGCAAAGTGTGACCACTCGGATCAGGAGCACTGCAGAGCAGGTGGAGTTGTCTCCACAGGCCGCATGTTGGATCTAGATGGAGCAGCGCATCCAGAGATCTGTGGTCTCCGCAAGCTGCCCCTCTTACGTTCCAAGAGGAGCGGTCAGTTCCGATCATGGCAGTGAACTGTGGTTTGGGGTTTGCGGCAGGTTGTCGGTGCAACTGGAATTTTGAGCGCCTTCTGCAGTAGCAAAGTCCGGAGATTGCCTCTGGTGATTCTCCAAATACACTGAAAAAAATAAAGTTCCTTTGCTGAACTTCATGTTAACATTTCATGCGTGTCTCCTTCTCAGGCAGGGGAGGCTCTTTCAGGATGAGACGTCTATGTCTGAAGAACACGTTGAGATATATATATATATATAGAGAGAGAGAGATTAAAATCGGAACTTTGGATATTTGGGAAAAAAAAATTGAAATTGCAAATGACATTCCCACCAGGACACTTTTAAAAAACCTCCCGCATGGGACTGATGACTGAAACGAAGGCCATCTTAGAACAAGCCAAGTGAGAAACCCACCTGTGTTTCACGTCGGTTAGTTACAGTCGCCCAACTCAGTGGGATGACCTGACCCATGTGTGTCAGAGAGAAACAGACGGAGCTTGACGTTTTATGCCTCAGCAGTTCAAAGAGGAACAACAACAACAAAAAAACTGTTGCCTGTAAAAGGCAGCTGCTCTTTTACCGCTCCCCCACCCCTCTATCTAGCCTGCGCCAGGAGAGGCGAGTGACAGAGAG